GAACGCGACTTCCTCTTATCTTTTCCAGAAAATTTGAGTAGTTCCCGTATTTTCTTTCTATTATTCCGATCTTTTGCTCAGAAAAAAAAACCAATGAGAAAACGGATTTCAATCATGTAAAAACAAGGAAATCTTAGGAAATATAAGATCGAAAATTACAACAGAATGTATATATCAAACAGCAATTGGAAATTCGGGATAGGAAAGGTTCGACCTATAAACTACGTGAGTCGGTCAGAAACAAACTTGTGCAATAAATAACCCGATCGGATAAGAGAAAGGTACGCACTCAGCCATTTTATATTCAATAAAAAATGAGATAAACCAAATTGTCTTACGATACAGTCGCTCAAAAGATTTATTGGACACCAACAACTTTTGTTTTCACCATCATTGAATCATGTTTTCACCCGCATCAAATCTTCGCTTCAGTATAATTACTCTGTAATGAAACCACAATTCATGCCTTTAACATCTATGTGACATATGAAGTCGTCGTGGCCTAAAGGATAAGACGTCCGGTGCATTCATATGTAGCGATGCATCGATGTTCGAATCCCGCAGGCTGGTACCAATTTTTCTAATGAAATACGTACTCAACAAATGTTCACGATTGACTTCCACGGTGAAGAAATAACATCGTGTAATAAAAACCAAACCCGCAAAATTATAGTTTGCGTAATCACTGGTGGTAGGACCTCTTGGGAGTCCGCACGACTAGGTATCACCACCCCGCCTATTTCCGCCGTGAAGCAGTAATGCGTTTCGGTTTGAAGGGTGGGGTAGCCGTTGTAACTATACTTGAGACCTTAGAACTTATATCTCGAGGTGGGTGACGCATTTATGTTGTAGATGTCTATGGGCTCCAGTAACCACTTAACACCAGATGGGCTGTGAGCTCGTCCATGCATCTCAGCAATAAATAAAAAATATATATATGAAAACACTACGCTACATGCCTATTCTTATAATGAATTCAGAAATATGGAATATATACGTAAATTGACTACTCGCAGTCATATTCTTAATACTATTTCACAGGCTCGTGTTTTGGTTCACCGAGGAAGCCGTGCTATTTAAACTACTTTTCCGTAATTTCGAGGCACATATTTAAATGAGCTGAACTTTATAATCTATATCTATACTAATATTATAAAGAGGAAAGATTTGTTTGTTTGTTTGTTTCGAATAGGCTCCGAAACTACTGGACCGATTTGAAAAATTCTTTTTCCATTAGAAGCCGACATTGTCCCTGATGAACATAGGCTACTTTTTTTTATTTTTTTTTTATTTATTTTTTTTGGTTTCATGTGTGTTTTAATGTTTCCGAAGCGAAGCGAGGGCGGGTCGCTAGTATATTATAAAGAGGAAAGATTTGTTTGTTTGTTTGTTTCGAATAGGCTCCGAAACTACTGGACCGATTTGAAAAATTCTTTTTCCATTAGAAGCCGACATTGTCCCTGATGAACATAGGCTACTTTTTTTTATTTTTTTTTTATTTATTTTTTTTGGTTTCATGTGTGTTTTAATGTTTCCGAAGCGAAGCGAGGGCGGGTCGCTAGTGTTAAAATAAATCAAGTAAATATAAACGACGATATGAGTTACGCTAAATTCAATGCGACATTCGAGTGTTCTAATTTTGTGACGAACTCCGAGTTCGCTACGCCTTTCATTTTATGCCAATGAACAAAATCTTTTGCACAAAATTGCTCAAAATCTCATTAGTGTACGCGCAAGGTTTTAAGCATTTGGCCCGTGGCCTAGTTTTAAGCTAAACGATTTTGCCTTTATTCTAAAATGACTCGTGTGCTTTCTATATTATAGGACTAGCTGAGCCCACGACTTTTGGATCTAGGTGTATTAATTACCGTGCCGAAATGCATGAACCAAAATCTAATTGCTTACAAATCATGAAGATACTAGATTGTAGATTAGTTTTAAATATTGGTTCGAAATTTAATTATTTGATTTATTTATTGCATGGTGGGGTAAGCGGGTTGGCGGCCCATACTGTGTAAAGCGATTACTAGATCCCATAGATATTATAACGGGAATAGATTCACCTAACTTGAGACGTGAATCCGAAAATTTTTACTGGTTTTAGGATGTCTTGTGAGTCCGCGCGGATGGGTACCACCGCCCTGCCTATTTCGGCCGTAATGCGTTTCGGTTTGAAGAGTGAGGCAGCCATTGTAACTATACTTGAGACCTTAGAACTTATATCTCAAGGTGGGTGGCGCATTAACGTTGTGGATGTCTATGGGCTCCAGTAACCACTTAACATCACGTGGGCTGTAAGCTCGTCCACCCATCAAAGCTATAAAATAAAATAAAAAAAGCTGTCCCATTCCGCAAACAATTCATTCTGAAAACGCATGAATACTACGTGGCAGAAATAGCCTTCTAGATTACGAAACAAACTCCAAACAGACAAATTAATAATTACAAAATTGACCAGATCCAACTGAAATATACGGAGTCGCTCCCGTGGGCCACTCCCACATTATCCTTTCCATTTGACCGAGTATAATACAACATAATCGAAAAATAAATTTTGTGTTACTCTTCATAACCTTTTTGAAAAGTTTTTTATACCCCAGGATAAGGGTCAGACGGTTCTGTACAGATTAAAAGACATTATTTACCCGTTTGTAACGAACGATGCGTCAAAGTTTTATTTTTTCTGACATGGGACTGAAAATCGTCCTTTTTGAACATGTGTTCCGACACATAATTGTGTGCTAGAGTGAAACGATTCCCTTTGAACTTCCCCAATCTACTCTAATTAATGAAAGACACCTTTTGAAGTGACTTTTATGGATCGCATACGTTCTGTAATTATCTAACTATACTGAGATCTTAGAACTTATATCTCAAGGTGGGTGGCGCATTTACGTTATAGATGTCTATGGGCTCCAGTAACCACTTAACACCAGGTTGACTGTGAGTTCGTCCACACATCTAAGCAATAAAAAAAAAAAAGATCTTTGTCGATTTTTTATTTATTTTCGTACTGAAAGAAAAGCTCATCATTGGTTTTAAATTTAATCATAATTTACCAGTCGAAGGTGAACGGTTTTAACAAAACTAAGAGACATATTATTGTTAAAGATTTTCCCCTCTGAGTCAAAAACGGTCGCGCAAATGACAATTGATATTATTGCACTGGTGGTATATATGCAATCTACAAGTATAGCAAGACTAGTTGACGCGCTGCTGACAATTGAAAGAAGCATTCACCTTATATGATCTGGTACTGGTGGTAGGACCTCTTGTGAGTCCGCAAGGGTAGGTACCACCACCCTGCCTATTTCTGCCGTGAAGCAGTAATGCGTTTCGGCTTGAAGGGTGGAGCAGCTGTTGTAACTATACAGATACCTTAGAACTAATATCTCAAGGTGGGTGGCGCATTTATGTTGTAGATGTCTATGGGCTACATTAGCCACTTAACACCAGGTTGGCTGTGAGCTCATCCACCCATCTAAGCAATAAAAAAACATAAAAAAAGTATCCACCAAAACAATAAGCTTTGAAAATTAGAATTTTTCATTTGAATTTGAGTTATTCTATTAAATCTACATACAAAGTAATGTCAGTGTCAGTGTCATGTATTTCCTTTATAATATTATCAGGCTAACGACCGTAGCAATAGTTAATGAGTACAAATAACGTAAAATGCGTAACTAGAATAATATAGATCTTTCTTAATGTTTAAAACTTTTTGGGTTGCGATCGTTCTGAAATTAGTTGAGCCGGCGAACATTGTACTGGCCAAATTTCAATATAATTATTTTCAATGTATGCCTTTTTTATTGCTTAGATGGGTGGACGAGCTCAAAGCCCACCTGGTGTTAAGTGGTTACTGAAGCCCATAGACATCTACAACGTAAATACGCCACCCACCTTGAGATATGAGTTCTAAGGTCTCAGTATAGTTACAACCGCTACCCCACCCTTCAAGCCGAAACGCATTACTGCTTCACGGCAGACCCTACCCATGCGGACTCACAAGAGGTCCTACCACCAGTAAAAAATGCCTGCCTGTTTGTTAATTTTTTTTTAACTTCTAAGAAACATCCATTATTACTTTCTGTAAAAACTTTGTGTATATTAATAAACATTAAACAAAAATCGAACAAAAACCAAACAAACAAAATTTTATTTAATTTACTTAGATGATCAAACAAGCAAACGCTATTCGTTCGATTCATAATATTTCAGTCTAACTTATTACTGCCGAAATACGCGAACAGCCAATGAAACTCGATTTCCTTTTAGCTAAGACGTCGGATGTCTCGTCTTGGCCATTATTAGCGGCAAAATGACAGCTGAATTGGGCGAAAGCCTCACGCCTGTCTAGCTCGAACCTTGTCAGTTACTAAGTAGCTTTGCTAAGACTTACCGGCTTAAGCACTGAGTGAAATTTACTTTTAAACAAGATTATGTTTGTATTTTTTTAATATCTAAGATGAGCGCTAACCTACCTAACAGTTTTCGCTATTTTACTCATTGTAGGGCGGAATGCAAACGGGAATGTATATACAATGTATAATCCGTGAATTTTATAGGTACTATAATTTTCTCTACCGTAGACATTGTACGAAAGGTAGAACATATCCCCATGTATATAGTCACATCCACATTATATTCCGATTTTAGTTATCTCTATCAGGATCTTGTGATAGTTGACAATGTTCTTTACCACCAGTAGTTAAGACTGAAATTAAGAGGTTCCGAATTCACTCATTACGTAGGAAAATTAATTATATTATCACCACCTACTACAGGGTGATCTGAATTAGCGGTCTGATATGAACGACGATGAAACGAAATGCACCACTCCGTATTTATAATTGAAAATGATAGTACCTATCCGTGTAAACAGAACGCTCAAGAGTTACGCATATCAAAGTCTACTTGATTTGATTTTCATTACATGATATCATTCTAAAACGTCGTAAAAATTACACTGTCATCAAGTAATTTAGACTTAATTACAGTGCTACGCGAGCATAAAGTCAAATATAACAATGATGTCGGTTATAACATTTTCCAAAATTTCGCATACTTATAGAAACGTTAAGTGGTGAAGTAGTAGTGGTATGTGTGTAGTGTGACGATGTAAAATATGTTTAAAATGTGGTCAGTAAAGTGGATCAGGCTATTAGTGATGCTGGCAGCGTGCTGGGCTCAAGAAGGCGAGTGGAGTGAAGATGCTGAAGACTTGGGTAAGATTTTTATTTCTAAGCACATCTCTGTTACATGTTTTAGCTGGCATTATATTTGGTACACGGAGTCGAAATCTATAATCATTGTTGTTGTGGGGTGGCTTAAACACATACTGGAAAATAACATGTAGGTACACGCAGATATCAAAGACCTGGTGATAGGACCTCTTGTGAGTCCGCGCGAGTAGGTACCACCACCCTGCCTATTTCTGCCGTGAAGCAGTAATGCGTTTCGGTTTGAAGGACAGAGCAGACGTTGTAACTATACTGAGACCTTAGAACTTATATCTCAAGGTGAGTGGCGCATTTACGTTATAGATGGTTATGGGCTCCAGTAACCACTTAACACCAGGTGGGCTGTGAGCTCGTCCACCCATCTACACAATAAAAAAAATAAAAAAGATGTGTGGTGTCGTGGGACACCGGATAGGAACGAAGTTCCTTATTATAAAAATATTAATTTTAAGTTCTATTCGAGGTATAAAGAAAATAATTATTCGGGTATACATTTTTCATTATGATTTTTTAATTAATAAAAATGAAAATAATCGCAAGGGTCAACCACTCCGCAGTGCAATGGAGCAGACTCGCCCTGGGGGAACCGCCTGCATAATCACGGTATCCCCTACACCAGGTATGATTTAGCAAGAGAAATACGAGAACGTCTATCAACTTTGTAACATCTCGTCAACGCGAATAACAAACTAAATAGAAAAACCTTACGTTACGGACGTTTCTTCCCGGTTAGGGTACCCCTCTGCATCGTCCCATATCGAACTTCGTTCCAAAAAATCTTTCAAAATAATACAAACTACGACCGGAATTAGGATACTTACGCTATAATACAGTCGTTTTCAGTATTATTAATCAAAAGAGTAATGAAGTGATCACTTCATACAATCAAACGATAAATACTTCTAACAACTCTACTAATTTTATTTAACGTTCAATTATCAAAAATATTATTTTAATAAAAAACAGACAATAAAAAAGCGATAATAACATAATGTTCATAAGATTTTTTCTAATCTGAGGCAATATCAGACTTTTTACTTAACCTGAAACTTGCACAAAACTTTAGACTTCAATAAACTTGTCACTTTGGCAACTCAGGGAAGTCCTCGTAGAAGCCAAAAGACACCCAAGAAAACTAAATTATTTGGATAAGCACTCAGCCAACATCACTGTTCTAAACTGAATAAAACTTTGTATAGATAAGTAACAATATTAGTAATAAAACTAAATAAGTGGTGACCTCGATAATAAAAAAGTTCTCGACGTCAAATTAACCTCACCTTCAAAAGCACAAAACTACTTAGCTTGATCCTAAAACATCAAATATACGCCGCCCAAAATTTCAGGCTGCCCTCAATAATTTTTTTATTTTATTGCTTAGATGGTTGAACGAGCTCCCAGTCCACCTGGTGTTAAGTGGTTACCGGAGCCCATAGACATCTACAACGTAAATGCGCCACCCACCTTGAGATATAAGTTCTAAGATCTCAGTATAACTATAACGGCTGCCCTACCCTTCAGACCGAAACGCATTACTGCTACATGGCAGAAATAGGTGGTACCTACCCGCGCGGACTCACAAAAGGTCCTACCACCAGTAAAAATGTTCAGACTATTTTTCTTTACAACGTTAATTCGTGCAAACGGTCCAATAACAAAATGACGATTTTTTTATTATTATTATCGTCCCTGGTATTCACCACACCTCACGATGAATCGCTGAAGCGATCAAATGAAACAAAATCGAACAAAGTCAAGTGGGAATCGCGCTCAACCCATTAAACGCGATTGCTTGTCGAAAATGAAAATGGGGAAATATATTTTCGTTTGTCCGACAGAACGTTATTCCGATGTTTTTTTCGTGATTTTTATGCAATCCATCGGGAGCTGCGTTTACACGCAACAAATTGCTCACTTTGATTGAGTGCACATTACTGTGATCCTGCGATATGAAATGAAAATATCGACGCTTGAAAGGTAAACGTGAATAAGCGACAATAACTGCTTTGTACATAAATGATAGCCAATAACCATATTCGATGCGCAAAAAAAAATTATTTCTAGGTCTATTAAAATCATTTCAATCCTACAGCTAGATTCGTTAAAATAGATTTTTTTTCAGGTATTTCAACTTTTAATTAGTCTACTGTAAAGTTCACGCATTGTCGCTTAGTCACGTTTGCCTTTCAAGCCTCGATATGTATAAATAGGGAACAAATTGCTTAACTGTAGATGTTTTCAATGCCATGCCGAACATGAGGATTTCAATGAGCTGTTTTAACGAATAACTAATTGTTCTCTGCGAATGAAAGAGCGTAAAGGGTAATAAGAAAAAAATGCAGTATGCTCTTTGAATACACGTCTTAATGTAACGAGGAACTTGCTCAAGTTCCATTTTTCATTTGGATGCCTACGAAAGGAACAAAAAAAAGCGACCCAATTAAAAAGTGTTCATGCATGGGTGGCTCTATTCAGCTCCAATTTTATTGGAACGATTAATTTTATTGCGAAAATTTCTGGACAGCGGAACGAATGGAAAACGAGAGTTGGCGGAGGTGGTTTCGTCGACCTTTTGTGGTTGCGCGATGGATGGGTTTGTTCCGCACCGAATCTAATCAAAGGGCAGGCACCCGAAAAAGTATTCGCTCGTTATTGTGAACATGACGAATGAATTGAAATTTTTTAATGTAATTGGAAACCGTTGATGATGGAACGCTCCGTATCGGCGTGTTCGGCAATCATAAATAACCACCGATATATATCCGTTCGACTTGTACGAATTGTTTATTTCGCATTAGGATTTCCTCGTTCATTATTCGGTGGGGACTTGCAAAATTTCACTGCTTGAATACCTTTGTTACGTTGTCGGATTTCACTTTAATCTAATTGAATCACAACAAAACATGGCCACAGATAACCCAAGCGAAATTGATTGAACTGGAGGTCCCGCAGTAGTCGAAATTCGACTATAATTAATTGGAATTGTAAGTTTGTACACTATTATGATTGTATTTTATACTTCTATAATCACAAATTTCGCCAAGACTACACTATAAAAAATATTAACAAAGACAAACAATATTTAATCTATTCTCAATTTGACAACAGACGTCAAGAACAAAAGTTTGACAATAAATAGTATGCATGCATGTGTGCGCGGTGTTCCACAGGGGTCGGTGCTCGGCCCCCTCTTGTGGAATATCGGGTATGACTGGGTACTGAGGGGTGCCCTCCTCCCGGGCCTAAGCGTAATCTGTTACGCAGACGACACGCTGGTCGTGGCCCGGGGGGGGAGTTTTGCTGAGTCTGCCCGTCTTGCTACCGCTGGGGTGGCGCATGTCGTCGGCAAAATCAGGAGATTGGGCCTCGACGTGGCGCTCAGTAAATCCGAGGCCATGTGGTTCCACAGGCCCCGGAGAGTGCCACCTGTCGATGCCCATATCGTGGTTGGAGGCGTCCGTATCGGGGTCGGGGTGCAGTTGAAGTACCTCGGCCTCATTCTGGACAGTCGTTGGACCTTCCGTGCTCACTTTCAGAACCTGGTCCCTCGTTTGTTGGGGGTGGCCGGCGCGTTAAGCCGGCTTCTTCCCAACGTTGGGGGGCCTGACCAGGTGACGCGCCGTCTCTATACAGGGGTGGTGCGATCAATGGCCCTATACGGGGCGCCCGTGTGGGGCCAGTCCCTGGCCGTGGGGGTAGCGAAGCTGCTGCAACGGCCGCAACGCACCATCGCGGTCAGGGTCATCCGTGGTTATCGCACCATCTCTTTCGAGGCGGCGTGTGTACTGGCTGGGACGCCGCCTTGGGTCCTGGAGGCGGAGGCGCTCGCCGCTGACTATCAGTGGCGGGCTGACCTTCGTGCCCGGAGCGTGGCACGTCTCAGCCCCAGTGTGGTCAGAGCGCGGAGGGCCCAATCTCGGCGGTCCGTGCTGGAGTCATGGTCCAGACGGCTGGCCGATCCTTCGGCTGGTCGTAGGACCGTCGAGGCGATTCGCCCGGTTCTTGTGAACTGGGTGAATCGTGACAGAGGACGCCTCACTTTCCGGCTCACGCAGGTGCTCACTGGGCATGGTTGCTTCGGTGAGTTCCTGCACCGGATCGGAGCCGAGCCGACGGCAGAGTGCCACCATTGTGGTTGCGACTTGGACACGGCGGAGCACACGCTCGTCGCCTGCCCCGCATGGGAGGGGTGGCGCCGTGTCCTCGTCGCAAAAATAGGAAACGACTTGTCGTTGCCGAGTGTTGTGGCATCGATGCTCGGTGACGACGAGTCGTGGAAGGCGATGCTCGACTTCTGCGAGTGCACCATCTCGCAGAAGGAGGCGGCGGGGCGCGTGAGAGACGCACAGGCCCGCCGCCGTCGAGTGGGGGCCAGGGAGGCGGATCTCGCCCAAGCCCTGGCCCTCTAAGTGTTTCGGGTCTCCCTCACATGTCGGCCTGGGGACCGGCGAAGGGGGCCTAAGAAGACGACGTGCAAGCTGCTCTGCACGCGTTTTATGCATGAGCATCCGGGTGATGGAAGGCCGGCTATCCTCGACCCACGCTGGTTCTGACCCAGCGGGGTATTCCGTAGGATAGACCATTCTAACCGGCGCCATCTAGGCGGGCTTCGGATAGCCTGCCGACCGAGAGGGCTGGTGGTCGTGGCGCCGACGACCGCCAGTCCGGCGTCCCGAGGGGGAGGGTGATGGGAGAGATGTGCTCCGCACTAAACGCTTCACTTTCCCCCCCTTGCCTTTTCATGAGTTTTGTCTCATGCGAGGTTTGGACGTTGGTTGTTGAGAGACAGGAGGTTTTAGTCGGTTCGACTCCGACATGCCCCGCCTTCCATCCCCAGTGAAGGGCGGAAGTCCGGCGATTTCCTCCTGACAAAAATGCATGCATGTGTGCGTCAAATACATGGTATGTAGTGTGTGTAACGTTTTCTTTATTGATTTTATGTATCTTTTATGCATTATTTTAAAAAAATATTAGCATTGTGCACT